AGGAGGAGGAGGAGGAGGAGGAGGAGGAGGAGGAGGAGGACCAGTTTTATTGCTGTTTTGCCGCAAAAGCCGTCGGTGTTGGTGTTAGCGTTTGGTGTGGTGAAACTACCTGTCTTCTTATGGTTGCAATGCCAAGGTAAGAAGAGGCGACGCGCAACACAGCGGTATGGGGGGAAGGTGGAGACGGGAGTTTGGGGGCGATAGGGCACAAATCTTTCCGAGTACCCACTCGTCCGTCTGATGCGTCTGGTCGGCTGGTTTGCAGGTGGAGTACAATCCCCGAGTACAGGTACCAGTGCCAGAACGGGTCTTGTCCTACGTACCGTGTTGCTGCTGCTACTGCTTGGCGATCGAGGGGCTTGAGCGGCTAACCGACAAGAATGAGGGAAGGAAACAGTACCACGAGTACGCTAGGGATCGGTGCGGCTGATCGCAGAAAGCTTGAAAGGATCGCTTGCCGCGACGGAAAGTCTGCATGTCGGGAGAACCCCGAGCACCTCGGGTAGGTTTCGGTGTAGAAAACACGAGCAACAGCAGCCCTTCAGCGCTTGTACTACTTTAACTTGGTGCCGAAGGCTGTGATCGAAAACAAAAAACGAGAGAGAGAAAGAAAAAAATCGGATTCCTCGTCTACAGTGTAGACAAGGCCACCCCATGATCCCACGCGTGTGCAGTTGTCGAACCACAAAGACAAGAGGTGTGAATAACCACCGGAGGCAAAAGCTGCAATAATGCGGGTTGACAAGAAACATGGTTTGGAGCCATCTTGGTCGCCGAGCTAAATTTTGGGGGAGGATGACCTCCAGGACAACAACGGCAAGCGCCAGCAGCTGCAGCAGTAGCAGCAACAACAACAACGGCACCAAGTGAAAGTCACCTGTCGACCTTTACCGCCCTGTTCGCTCGCAAGAGCTTGTTGCAAAAGAAGAGGCACACCTCCGGTATCTTCTGGCCGCCCGCGATCATCATGGCCACTACCACGTTGCGACGCGCATCGTTGTACACCTCCGCGAGCGGAATCTGTGTCACCGAAGCAATGGAATCGCGTTGTTGGTGGTTGTTGGTGCCACTTTCTCTCTCTCTCTCTCTTTCTCTCTCTCTCTCTCTCTCTCTCTCTCTCTCTCT